TGAGACCAGAAAGTTATTTTTAAGGTTCCTCTGTATTAAAAAGGTTGAGAAAGGCTGTCCTAGGGCTTAACTTCAAAGCAGAAAAAGGTATGAATCATTTATTGCTAAATTAATCCAGCTAGAATAATTGCCTATTTCTTAATTTTGTTCGCTTCCCATAATCCCCTGCAGGGTTAGACTAGGGAAAGGGAGGGGCAACAGATTGAGCCAATCATGCTATACTGCACTATGCAATGCTGTCTGTCTAAAATGCTTTGAAAGACAACATCAAGGATACATCTATGCGGTCTGGCTGTGGATGGGGGTGTTGGGTCACAATCCTGGCTGAACAGAATCACAAACTTTGGGCAGTAGAGCCAATTCACAAAGTATTTGCATTTCTACAGTGTAGTCAGCTGAAGTTCTGCTTTAAACTTTGGCATGAAACTGGCTGCCTATTGCAGAGCAGAATTTTCCATTAACAATGCTGCTGTCCTCTAACATGCCAACTCTGTACCCCTACAGACATCAATTTAATCCGGGAAAAGAATTTAGCTTTTCAAGGTTAAAAAGCAGCAAGCAGAGAAGATGGGGAGCCTTGTCATGATCTACAATATGTAGAAGACAAATTTCCGCAGACACACTACAATCAAAATGTCACCAATATTGACAACTCCTCTGGGGTTCTCCACCGCTGCTCACTGACTGCAGCAACTTGGCATAAACACATTAGAGTGAGTGACAGGGGGAGGCAGAGGCCGTTCACCTAGAGGACTGATTTATCCACCATATTAAAACAGGCTGAAGAAGTTAAAGAGAACCAGTCAGACTCAGTTTTTACAATACTGCAGCCATTCTCAAGGACAGCTAATTGTGCTGTTATTTAGTTGTATTTCCTCCCTGTTGGATCAGAAACATCATTCTAGTGTCAGCCTGGAACACTCTCATGGAGGCTGATGTATCCCTGCAGGAGTTCAGGACGGATAATACGGATACAGCCTGCATGGCCTTCTGTATCAGGATAAAGTTAATCACTTGCTGTCAAACAACGTACTGGCACGTCATGGCAGTTTGAGTGGTTATACTGGGGCCACGGCTGCAGCATTAACCCTTTTATTTTATTTTTTTTAGAACCGGTGATGCTCTAGAGCAGTGGTTCTCAACCTTCCTAATGCCGCGACCCTTTAATACAGTTCCTCATGTTGAGGTGACCCCCAACAATAAAATACTTCATAACTGCAGCAGCTTTTCTCATTCCCGCTATATAAGGCGTCACACCTCCCCCATCCCCACCACACAGAGCAGCCAGCTCTCTTCACACATGGCCCACTCTCACCTCCATACCGCCGCCATCTTGGATCCGCTCTTCCCTATCCTCCACCCAGTCCCCAGCTAGCCAACTTCCTGACAGAGGCCACGCCCAATCTGAGGATGTCAAAACTTCTTCATTGGCACGTCACCTCGTCTGGTTGGTCAAGTTCTAGTTTAATCCCGATAAGCCCCGCTTCACATTTACAGCTGGGGATGATGTCGCCACTCAGCGATGATTGGGGGAGCAGTGCAGAAAATAGGCGGGGCAGATGTTGTGGGAGATGATAGACTGGGGCAGAGGGGTCAGGTGTCATCACTGCTGACTGTTCTCTTACTCGTATGTGGGCGTATCTGCATGTGGGCGGACCCGTCTGGAGACGGATAGAGGAGCGATGTTTCCTAAGACCATCAGAAATATGTGTTTTCCGATGGTCTTAGGCGACCCCTGTGAAAGGGTCGTTCGACCCCAAAAGGGGTCACGACCCACAGGTTGAGAACCGCTGCTATAGAATGTAAAAGTGATCCGAGTGGCTAATTAGCCACTGGATCGCTTTACAGGTGGCAGGAGTTGTCCCCCCTCTTGCCACCCTCTGGTGCTTCTACTGTTCCAGCGGGAAGAACGGGACTGAAGCCAGCAGATCCACTTGCTAGTCATAGAGATGATCATGGACTGCAACATCCCCAATAATCTCTATGATCTAAGACAGTGTCTCTCAACCTTTTTTCAGTCAAGGCACCCTTTAAAATGCTGCACAATCTTGAGGCACCCATTGCAAAATGTAAAAAAAACTAAAAACTAATAATTTAACAGAGCACAGCAACATCTACACATATGGGACACCCAGCGTCAGAGGCGATTTATTCTTCCAAAGCAAATACACCTTTGCACACTGGTACTGATAAGTATTCCATTGTTTTTCTTTTCCCTCAGTTTCTCTCTCATACTCAGCTAATGTGACCCCAGTGCTGATTGAGAGGGCAGGGGAGGGGCAAGCAAGGAGATGCTGTGCAGGTGCCTGATTTTCTCCTTTCCTTCCGATGACATTATTGGTTTTTAATGTGGGCGGTGGCTAGAAAGTAATAGTGCACAATGAAAACCCGTGACCTTGTGTAACTAGAAGGCAGGCTTGATCCACCTGCTGACTTGCATAAACTTTTGGAGCAATTTTGTAGGCATTTTACCAAAAACACGCCTGAAGAAACTTGAAGGCACCCAAAAAGGCTGGTCTAAGAAACCAAAACATTCTGTTTGGGCAGAGTGTAAATATTCTATTTTTGAATTGGGATCTTTGATCAGATGCTTTTATGGCCAGATGAGAGACCTTGGGTCTAATAAAGAGGACTTGTCTTTCTTTATTGCTATCACAAGGGAGGCTTATATTCCTTGTGATAGCAATAAAAGGGATAAAAAAAAAATTAAAGTGATAGTGTAAAAATAAAACAAATTTAAATAATAAAAAAAATATAAAACACCAATTAAACCCGCCCTGTTCCACCGCGCTCGCAAGTAAAGGCAAACGTACGCACCGGTACATAAACATTAACTGCACCACACGTGAGGTATCGTTGTGAACGTCAGATCAGAGAGCAATAATCCTAGTACCAGACTTCCTGTGTAAATCTAACATGGTAATCTATAAAGGCTTTTAAAGCATCGCCTATGGATAATGTAATGTATGTACTTTGTCGCAGCTCCACGGCGCGAGTGCAATTTTGTCCCTTGGTATCTATTTACTCAGTGTTACATCATTGTTTACATTTTACCAAACAATTGGGTATTATATTATGTTTTTGTGCGTTAAACTTCATTAAAGTGTATTTTTTTTTTTAATTGCGATTGAAAAACTGCTGCGCAAATACAGTGTGACATAAAAAAATTGCAAAGCCCACCATTTTATGCTCTAGGGCCTCTGCTTACAAAAATATATAATGTTTCGGGGTTCTAAGTAATTTTCTAGCAAGAAATTACTGATTTTTACATGGAAGCCAAAAGTGTCAGATTAGGCCTGATCTTTAAGTGGTCAAAGTGTACGTTGGGGGTGAAAAAAAAAAAAAAAAAAAACACTCAATACATCTCTGCAATACATCTACATCAGGGGTTAAAATTTCAAGTCCAGACCTACTAGCCGGTCACAAAACTTACTCTCCACCAGTTGCCCCACCCAACCTTGCCCAGGTCCGCCCGCAACCCCACCCCAAATCCCACCCCTAGCCTGCCCCCAACCACACCCCCTTAAAGCTTATGAAATTACATTTTTCTTTAGAATAAAAAGAGTCCAAAATATAAAACTGTACACAGTAATGTATATCCCCCTCCCCTGTACTTCATTATAGTGATAGGACATGTATACAGTATGTATATCCCCCCTCCCCTGTACTTCATTATAGTGATAGGACATGTATACAGTATGTATATCCCCCCTCCCCTGTACTCCATTATAGTGATATGGAGTGTATACAGTATGTATATCCCCCCTCCCCTGTACTTCATTATAGTGATATGACATGTATACAGTAATGTATATCCCCCTCCCCTGTACTCCACTGTAGTGATATGACATGTATACAGTAATGTATATCCCCCCTCCCCTGTACTCCATTATAGTGATATGACGTGTATACAGTAATGTATATCCCCCCTCCCCTGTACTCCACTGTAGTGATATGACATGTATACAGTAATGTATATCCCCCCTCCTCTGTACTCCATTATAGTGATATGACATGTATACAGTAATGTATATCCCCCCTCCTCTGTACTCCACTGTAGTGATATGACATGTATACAGTATGTATATCCCCCTCCCCTGTACCCCATTATAGTGATATGACGTGTATACAGTAATGTATATCCCCCCTCCCCTGTACTCCATTATAGTGATATGACATGTATACAGTAATGTATATCCCCCTCCCCTGTACTCCATTATAGTGATATGACGTGTATACAGTAATGTATATCCCCCTCCCCTGTACTCCATTATAGTGATATGACGTGTATACAGTAATGTATATCCCAGCTCCCCTGTACTCCATTATAGTGATATGACGTGTATACAGTAATGTATATCCCAGCTCCCCTGTACTCCATTATAGTGATAGGACATGTTGTATACAGTACTTACTGTCCCCCCAAGTCCCCCCGCGGCGGTGGAGAGGGTGTCTCCTCTCAGCAGATGAGAGCGGACCTCTCCTGCACTTGGCCCCTCGGCGGCGGTGCCGCAGAAGCCGGAAACCGTAAGTTGTAAACCGGAACTCGGCTTCACAATGAGGCTTGGAGCGCAGGTGCAGTCACTCCATGCTTCATCTGTGCTCACCGCTCGCCACAAGGAATTTCTCCTCGCATTTGGCAAGCGGGCGAGCGGCTTTTTCATTATCTGATCTACATCACCCCCTCCTTAACCACTACCCCCTTTAGCTGCAAAGGCAGCAGCTAGGGGTGTATACGATGCTTTGCAGCCGTGGCAGGAATTATACCACTTGTTGCTTTGGGCAGGTGCTGCAGTCCACTGATTGCAACCCATGCAAGTGAATGGGGCTGCTCTGCAAGTGCCCTGCAACCGCATGCAATGTCTATAAAAGCAAACACAGAACCAGAGGAGCCAGGCTTCCCATCTGTTCAGGGAACATTGCAATTAGACCGGTTGTATTATGATTATGGGTTCAGTTATACAAGAAGAGATAACAAAGAGGTAGCGCAGCTCACTTACCTTCATGGACAGTTATGCCACAATTATCACACTGTATTATTTCATCTGCATCTTCGCTGTTATCTCCCAGACACACACAACATATTAATACATGGTCCATCTTCTGAGAACACCACCGGTCACTCTTCTCCAGAATAAGAGAATCCTGAAAATAGCAAAATAAGATGATTTTGGATGCTGCTCAGAACTCTATAGGAGAGACCTAGATCATCGCATGGCCTGAAGACATGAGAAAAAAAAAGTAAAAATTAACCACTTGACCTCCAGAAAGTTTTCCTCCCTTCATGACCAGGCCATTTTTTTTTTGCTGTTCAGCACTTCTACTTTAGCAATTGCACAGTCATGCAACACTGTACCCAAAAGAAATGTTTATCTTTTTTCACACAAATAGTGCTTTCTTTTGGTGGTATTTGATCACCATTGGGGTTTTTTTTGTATAGAAATGAGAGAAGTTCAAAAATGTTGTAAAAAAATATATCATTTTGTACAGTTATAACACATCTCCAATAAAATCACATTTCTATGTAACTTTAGACAAAAATGTATATTCTGCTACATGTCTTTGGTAAATAACACTCCCAATAAGTGTATATTAATTGGTTTGTGTGAAAGTTATAGCGCCTACAATCTATGGTATATATACTGGAATTTAAGCATCTACAGTGGGGATCGAAAGTTTGGGCACCCCAGCTAAAAATGCAGTATGTGTATTAATGTGCATAACGAAGCCAAGGAAAGATGGAAAAATCTCCAAAAGGCATCAAATTACAGATTAGACATTCTTATAATATGTCAACAAAAGATAGATTTTATTTCCATCATTTACACTTTCAAAATAACAAAAAACAAAAAAATGGCGTCTGCAAAAGTTTGGGCACCCTGCAGAGTTAATATCTTGTACTGCCCCCTTTGGCAAGTATCACAGCTTGTAAACGCTTTTTGTAGCCAGCCAAGAGTCTTTCAATTCTTGTTTGAGGTATCTTTGCCCATTCTTCCCTACAAAAGTCTTCCAGTTCTTTGAGATTTCTGGGCTGTCTGTCACGCACTGCTCTTTTAAGGTCTCTCCATAGATTTTCAATTATGTTGAGGTCAGGAGATTGTGAAGGCCATGGCAAAACCTTCAGTTTACGCCTCTTGATGTAATCCCCCGTGGTGGCTTCTTTATTCACATTAATACAAATTTTTAGCTGGGGTGCCCAAACTTTCGATCCCCACTGTATAGCCAACATACTGTAATTGTGGTGACCTGTGACTTAAAGTGAGCCTGTGATAGGGTGGCAGGCAATCTGGCGCTAATAGACAATATCTGGAAGGGTCACCAACAGACAATGATGTCAATAGTGACACTAATACAGTGATCAATAACACTGTCGCTGTACAAATGACACTGGCTGGGAAGGGGTTAACATCTAGGGGAAATCAAAGGTGTGCCTATCCATGTGTAATATGTGCTGCTTTTACTTTACTATCGGTTTGTTTTCTCCCTGCTTTTCAGGGAGAAGAAACAGCCAGATTGCTGTACCAATACATACAGAGTTCTGTGTGTTTGTAAACACAGAACACTGTGTGTGATTGGACAAAGCCAATCAAATGATTTCAGCCAAAATCATTGACTGAAATTTGCTGCCAAACTTGTGCTGTGTCCAAGCACGGCAGTGAGTGGGCACATGCGTACCCCAATCCCAAAAGAAGGCACTCATGTACATGTATGTGATTGTGCCTGTACCTAACGCCCACTCGCAGTATATTTATATGTGAGCGCTTGGCAGGTAGTTAAAAAAAGATGCAGGATGGGAGCCACTAATGGGGCGGGGAGGAGAATAAAGCCCTACATGAGCAAAGCAAAGCACAGGTTCAATCTGAATACCTACATTTTAAAGTGGTATTAAATCCAAAAGCAAACATTTAATATATTGTAGCTTACCAATTCTTAGATGTGATGGCTGCATTAGTTTTTAGGCTCGCTTTCATTTTCATCTCAGGATCCTGCCAGTAAGTCTGCTGTTTTTCAACAGAACAAACTGTTCTGCAGATGTAGCAGTTAGAGGGATGAGACAAATAATTTATCTCTGACAGTAGTATTTACAGTGATGAGCTTTTATTTAAAACCTTTATCCAAAAAAGAAGAAATCTGTTGAAGTAACTGCTTAAAAAGTATGAGCTGGAGTTTGGCTTCAATGTGTTCAGTGTGTCTAAATCTGCTAGTGCATCTAATACCACCCAAACCCCCCGAAGACTGACAATTCTGCTGTCCAAAGGTGTTTGTTGCTCCTTCATCCAGAATGAAGGCTCTAATATAGGAGGTGTGGTACTGGCCAGATCAAGTGAAAACAGAGGGGAAAAAAGCATAAAACAAAAGAAAACTACCACCACATCTAATGATTGGGTTTAATACCTTTTAAATGTGAAGTTAAAAATAGAACTATAGGAAAAACAAATGTTTCCATTTTGGATAGAGTAAGGGGGGGTTGTAACCGCAATGGATTTATTTTTTGCCATCTGTGTTCCATTGGGGAAATTTACGCTCACTTCCTGTCCTATAGCCAAAACAGGAAGTGAGCAGAAATCCCTGTAAATTAACTACTTTGAGTCCGACACATGTATATAAATGGCCGGACGGGGGCAGTGCAGGGGCGAGTTGCCGTTCATAAACGGCGCCAACCATTTTGGACTGCGCGTGCTCCCCGAGAGCGTGCGGCAACACGCTGTACGGGATCCTCGGTGTACAGGACCTGTGTGTGAGGTCCCGATCATGTGATCACTGATTGGCCAATCAGTGATCACATGAATAGTAGTAAACAAGATGTCACTTCCTGACATCATTGCTTACTATTAGTGAAATCTGTGAATGATCACAGAAATCACATGGTACAAGGCTATTCACAGCTCACACAATATTTCTCAATGGTTGCAAGAATGCAGCCAGACAGAAGGAGAAATGATTGCTTTTACAGCCTTTATGGGTGTAAAAGAAATCAGTTAAAAAAAAAAAAAAGTCATCACCCCACCACAAGTAGTACAGTGTCACTATGGTGACACTGTACTGCCAGGGTGACAGTATGTAAAAAAAAAAAATGTAATGTAAAAACAAATTTAGAAAAATTATAATTTTTGGTTATAAATTAAATTTGCGTTTTTTTTTTTTTTCTAAAAAGATAACTGAATAAATTTTGGCCAAGATTTATGAAAAAAGATTTGCAAAATTTTATAAGAAAAACACTTTTAAAATGTTTGGACTTTTTCATTTATAGAGCAAAAAAAAAAAAAAAAAAATCCCAGTGGTGAATAAATACCACCAAAATAAAGTTTTATCTGTCTCAAAAAAATCCTAAAAAATTCATATGGGCACAGTGTTGCATGACCGCGCAATTGTCAAAGTGTGACAGCGCTGAAAGCTGAAAATTGGCCTGGACAGGAAGGGGGTAAAAGTGTCTGAACATGATGTGGTTTAGGGAATTCCTTGGTGTCCCCCCCCCCCCCCCCCCCCGCAGGTCACCAGAACTAGTGTCTGCATTGAAAGTTTTCTCCTCTATTACTTTTCTGGTGACAACCCAAAATGTGGGATTTTCTTTTACTTGCACTTTCAATGATAATGGTAAATAGGACATATAGAGAGGGAGAATCTCTCTAACAGGGGCACAAACAATAAAACCTGACAGGGGTTCTAATCCCTCTCCACTGTTATCCAAATCTAAAGACGTTTTGCCTTTATACTTTAATAAACTGATTTTTTTGTAAGTTCTTTAACCACTTCCCGACCGGCCGTTGTATATAAACGGCCGGACGGTGGCACTGCAGGGTCGGGTGGCCGTCTATAAACGGCCTCCCCGCACCCTGCTTGTGCGCGCTCCCTGGGAGCGCGCAGCACCACAATCCAGTGCCCGCTGTGTCCTCCGGACACAGTGAAACACCGATCGTCGGACGGGACCTCTGTACGAGGTCCCGATCATGTGATCACTGATTGGCCAATCAGTGATCACATGCAAAGTAGTAAGCAAGATGTCACTTCTGACATCATTGATTACTATGTGTGAAATCTGTGAATGATCACAGAGGTCACATGGTACAAGGCTATTCACAACAGCCTTGTACCATGTGACAAGCTGTGACCAATCACAGCTCACTCAGTTCTTCTCAATGAGTGCAAGAATGCACACAGAGAGAAAGAGAAATGATTGCTTTTACATCCTATATGGGTGTAAAAGCAATCAGTGTAAAAAAAAAAAAAAAAAAAAAATCTTCATCACCCCTCACAAGTAGTACAGTGTACAGTACCATGGTGACACTGTACTGCTAGGGTGACAGTATGTAAAAAAAAAAAAATAAAAATAAAAAATAATATAAAAAAATAAAATAAAAAAATGTAAAAAAAAAAGGTTTAAAAATTATAATTTTTGCTTATAAACTAATTTTTTTTTTTTTTTTTACTAAAAAGATAACGGAATAAATTTTGGCTAAGATTTATGATGAAATATTATTAATTTGCAAAATTTTATAAAAAAAACACTTTTTTTCAAAATTTTTGGACATTTCATTTACATAGCAAAAAAAATACAAATCCCAGTGGTGAATAAATACCACCAAAATAAAGCTTCATCTATCTCAAAAAAATGGTAAAAAATTCATTTGGGTACAGTGTTGCATGACCGCAATTGTCAATTGTCAAAGTGTGATAGCGCTAAAAGCTGAAAATTGCCCTGGTCAGGAAGGGGGTAAAAGTGTACGGTCTGGAAGTGGTTAATTACAGGGTCTGCTGTAAAATTGTGATTTCTAGAATTTGTAATACAAAAAGTTCATCATTGTTTTCTTGATTTTTGCTTCCTCTGACACCTAGATGGTTCCATATGAGCTAGCAAATGGGGTGGGGCCGTGTCCCTCCTTATGATCCTTCAGCTGTCTATAATTTATGAGAACAGGATGAATTCAAAGTACCTCTACAATGCAGGCTATTCACAGCATATCTGTAAAATGGCTCAGCAGATATATTAGAAGATGAGCATATAGATGATACAGGACAGAATGGAGTAATCTAATTGGCTATACTGTGTGGTAGAGTTTTATAAATTACAAGGTTAGCCAAAATGGCAGAACAGTTCATATACTTTAACTGTCCCTTTAGGCTGCCTGGAGCTCCTCTTATATAGGCCTGTAAGTGATCTTGACAATTTTCTCTCTCAGTACACATTACTGTTTTACTCTTGGCAGAGTCAGAGTAAAGACAATACCGTTTTTACACATTTCGATCAACCTGTCGTGAGACGTTACAAATTACCTCATTACTTTTGCTCTGAGACAACGTCAAGCTGTCGTTCGTCAGCTCCTCATCATCTCCGCTGTTTCTACTGGGAATCTTGATTTTCTTCTTCTTCTGCTCGTCCTCGCTGGAGCTGCTGCTGTCATCTTTATTGCCGGCATGATGGCTGGACTCTCCCTCGCTTCCGTCATCCTCGTCGTCGTCTTCCCCGTCGCTGCCGTCACCAGTAGAGGACTTTCCTTTTCTCTTACCCATGGTTGGCCTCCAGTCATTGTCATCCTCGCTGTCATAATCATCCATGGCATTTAACTCTTCCATAGTGATGAAGTCCAGCATTGGTCGGTGTCTGCGTAGGTTCCATTTTTTAGGCTCGTTATTTTGGTCTTCAGCGCTAATGTCTACCTCACTGGTTCTTTCCTTTTTATTCTGAGGCTTCTCGCACTCCTCTTTCTTGGTCTCTTCTTTGGTCGGCTCCTCTTCTTTTAGCTTTTCCTGAGTTTCTGTGCCTTCATCTTCCCCACCAGCATCTTTGACTTCCTCTCCCCCTATTGCAGTCATGTCGTCTTCTTTTAGGCTCTCTTCTGAGTCACTGCCAGAACCTTCTCCGCTGTCTTTTGACCCATCATCACTCCCATTCATACTGCCATCGGAATCTAGAAAGTAAAAACATACAAACGTCCAAGAAGCAGCAGAAAAAAATCCCAAAATGTCTTTCCAAAAACGTTTAACTGTTATATAATATTTTGGCACAAGACACCAGATAGACATAGTAATACAGATTCCAAGATCCAGATAGTTTATGGCAGTGGTCTCCAACTGCGGCCAGGAGGCCAGATGTGGCCCCTTGCTTGCCTTTATCCTTCCCCTGATACAAGCCACTATTCCTGCCAGTGACACCAACAATGGGGCATAATTCCTGCTACTGACAACAGGCACTATCCCTCCCGCCGACACCAACAAACGGGGCACTATCCCTCCCGCCGACACCAACAAACGGGGCACTATCCCTCCCGCCGACACCAACAAATGGGGCACTATCCCTCCCGCCGACACCAACGGGGCACTATCCCTCCCGCCGACACCAACGGGGCACTATCCCTCCCGCCGACACCAACGGGGCACTATCCCTCCCGCCGACACCAACGGGGCACTATCCCTCCCGCCGACACCAACGGGGCACTATCCCTCCCGCCGACACCAACGGGGCACTATCCCTCCCGCCGACACCAACGGGGCACTATCCCTCCCGCCGACACCAACGGGGCACTATTCCACCCGCTGACACTAACGAGGCACTATTCCTCACCAGACACCAACAATGGGGCACTATTCCTCCCACTGATACCAACAATGGGGCACTATTCCTCCCACTGATACCAACAATGGGGCACTATTCCTCCCACTGACACCAATGATGGGACACTATTCCTCCCACTGATACCAACAATGGGGCACTATTCCTCCCACTGATACCAACAATGGGGCACTATTCCTCCCACTGACACCAATGATGGGGCACTATTCCTCCCATTGACACCAACAATGGGGCACTATTCTTCCCACTACACAAACAGGGAACTATCCCTCCCACTGACACCAACAACGGGTACTATTCTGACCTCTGACAACCAGGCACTATTCTTCCCACTGACACCAACGGGGGGGCACTATTCCTCCTATTGACAACAACAATGCATCATTCCTCCGATTGACACCATCAGGGGGGCACTATTTCTCCCACTTACACCAAAGATGGAGAATTTTTTCTTCTACAGACATTAATGACGAGCATTTTTTTCTCCTACTGACAACAGTGAAGAACGATTTTTCCCATGGACACCAACAATGGGGCACCAGTTTTCCCCTCTAATCCCAAAGATCCGGCCCTCATATAGTCTGAAGGCCCTTTGTTTAAAAAGTTTGGAGACCCCTGCTCTATAGGCATGATTGAAGAAACATACCTCCCAAGCTTTACCAGGTTGTTTTTCCTAAGGTGATCAATGAAAGTGTACATTGTCTGGCAAAACAGAGCTTTTATTGGCAATTCTTGGCTCTTAAAACCTGTATGAATCTGCCCTTCTCTAATTAAGAGCCCAAAGGGAGTCCAGAAAAATTTACATTATTCCCACTGACAACCTTAGGAAAGGCTTACACAAGCTCAGGTGATGGTCACAATATTTAATGCACGGACCACTTGCCCTAAATTGCATAAAAACACAAAACAATTTTGACATCGGATAGAAGGTGGAAGTGGTAAAACCCCTGTAAGGTTTATATTGTTGCCCAACTGAGGAGATTAACCCCAATGTTCCCGGTGATCACTGTACCTGGTAGAATGGGAAATCCAAAGTTTTTCAATTCAAATAGTTGTCACTGGGACAGGAGGTGAGGGGAAATCCCCCCAATAATAGCACAGTTGCAGGTCTCTAAGGGGGAATTTTTCTTGACTTGAGAGATTTCCTTTCCCTGTTGGGTCTCTGGGACAGAAAATTTCCTAAAAACGGGAAATAAAATACCAAAGGCCTGACCCTGACGTATTTTTTTTATCACCATTGAAGGCAAAAAAAAAAAAAAAAATGAAAAGAAAAAAAAGAAAGGTCAGTAGCTGCCTACCAATCACGCATGATAGCTGCTTCCAAGACTAGTGACTAGGGTTGCCACCAGATTCCTTTAAAACAACTGAACACATTAATTACACAGGTTCTGACAATAATTTATTGCAGATAATGTGTTCTTTTTTACACCCCGGTCACATCAAAGCCGATTTTGAAACTGTGCGACTTACAACGAAGTCACACGATTTCAAAATCAGGTGACCTGCCGATTTCCAAGACATCTGACACAGATGTCTATGCAAATCGCAACAAAAGTAGTGCATGTACTACTGTAGAAATCGGTGCGGCTCCGACCAAGCCGGAACCGCGCCAATATGACCGCTCTAATAGCAGATAATAGGGTGCGACTTGGCATACGATTTGCAAGTCGCCTGGCATGCAAATAGCACCCGATGTGACCTGGAACTTAAAGGAATGAAGTGGCAACACTAGTAACCAGCAATACCCTGCTTTGAACCAATGACTGGACATGGCCTTTGGAATTGAGAAAAACGAATTAAATACACCCAAAGTAATTTTAAAACACCTAATCCAAACAATTTGAATGAAGGCCAACTAAACAAACCTGATGTTATGGGGGAGATTTACTAAAACTGGCGCACTCAGAATCTGGTGCAGCTGTGCATGGTGCCCAATTGGCTTCTTACTTCAGCTTGTTCAATGAAGATTTGACGATAAAATCTGGAAGCTGACTGGCTACCATGCACAGCTGCACCAGATTCCGCGTGCACCAGTTTTAGTACATCTCCCCCCCATCTAAAATTAAAGGAAACGTTCACCCTTAGCGGCACGTTAGACGTTCAAGGCTTCTAACCAACTCCGCCAGGACCAGAGCATCCACTTCCCCTACAATCTTCTTTTAAAACATTAAAAACAGTAGTAATGACATTTAAAAAGGTCAAATCCAACCAATATTTTACTTTAGTTTGCATGGTTACTGGCAGTTTAAATCACACGCTGACTTCTTTTATCTTTATAGCTCTCCAGTGGCAAGATATCCGCCCAAGAATTCGGGTTCCTCAAATGCTGCAGACATTAAGCCACGTGTTGGTATCATGACTTCATGATGCAGAAAATGTGCCGCTACAAACTGGGGCTAAAACCAGCGGTGCAGTTACAGCATCAGGACAGTGGGACCAGACAACAAAGATGAAGGGGCATTTAACAGCCAACTCTATGTTCCTCCTCCCACAACCCAGTGCTCCCCCGATTCCTACTTTTTGCTTTTGTCTTTTCTTTTTTTTTTTTTTTTTTATTATATTATTTACCTTTTACAGATGTCTGCAAGCCGGTCATGTGACATACAGGGTTTGCTCCCTTTACAGATTTAATGATGCAGAGATCACGGCAGTGTCTGTTACCTGCAACTTTATGTGCAGGATGTTGCCATAAGGCCCCCTCGGGGAACAGGTCCAAGACGCTGTACACCTGCAGCATGTCCTCAGTCTTCCAGGTTGAATGATGTGGATGTTACTCAACCAAGACGACTCAGAACACCTAGAGGAGAAAATCAGCGACTGCAGCCAACAGTGGCAAAGATAGTATTACAGTCAGAGCTGATTTTATTTATTTATTTTACCCCTGCTGGGGGTCACAGATGACCTGTTTTTTTTTAAAAAAAAAAGGTGCATGTTGTCATCCATACCCATGTCACTACTTGGTGAGTCCACTAGAACATGGAGTTTGCCAATGAATGGATGTTTGTTCCAAATCAATGATCATCAATGTAGCAAAGCAGAGATTAGAATGACAGGATCTTGCACCTTCAAAACATATCAACAATGATTTTTTATTTATCTATTCAGAGAGATTCCAATTATTTCTTATTTGTGCCGAGAAATTTTTGATTTGTGTGTGCGTTGCCCTTCCTTGCACACCTTACTGCAAAGACTAGTTATAAATTGTGGGGGTTGCCATCTTCTTGTATAGCTTTTTCATTGACTTGGTGTGGAGACATACTGGATACCTTCAGTTGTCATTGAGCTCTTGCTGGCATCCAATGTGACCCTGTACCTTTAGGGAGGAGCGGGCTCCCTCAAGGCAAACCTGTCCTTAATTTATCCACTGCAATATGTGCTCCAACTTGGAGACTCTCAAAACTATAGTTCGGTCCACAGTACATAGAGGAGCCTTGATGTGGGTACTGCGGCTTCCACATATTGTGGAAATGTGGTAGGCTAACTGGATCCTTTCTAAATTGGCCCTAGTATGTATGAATGTGAGTTAGGGACCTTAGATTGTACGCCCTTCGAGGGTTAGGGACTGATGTGAATGTACAATATATATGTAAAACGCTGTGTGTAAATTGACGGCACTATATAAGTACCTGAAATAAAGGTGTGCAATAAAACGCTCTGTTTTTAAAGTGAATTGTTAGACAGGGCCAATTTGGTTTGTTTGCAGGCTAGCTGGTAAGCGTACTGCGGAATTTTTGCTTGTGATGTGCATTGTCCTTCCATGTGCATCTTACTGCAAAGGCTAGTTGTAAATTGGGGTGGCTGCCATCTTTTTGAAAACCTTGTTTGGTGATTTGGTGTGGAGACATATTGGTTGCCTTCAGCTGCCTTTGTGCTTTTTCTGGTTGTCCAATGTGTGTCTGTGCCTTTAAGGAGAGGTGAGCTCCCTCCAGGTAAACGTGCCCTCAGTGTATCCAATATTATATATGCTCCAACTTAGAGACTCTCAAACATATAGAGTTAGGACTGCAGTACAGAGTAGCCTTGACGTAGGCACTACAGCTTCCACATACGGTATATTTGCAAGTATGCCGTATGTGTGCAACTAAACCCTCTGTTCTTAATGTGAATTGTTAAAGAATTTGATTTGTTTGCAGACTAGCTGTTAAGTGTGCTGGGAAAGTTTTGCTGATTTGTGATGTGCGTTGGCCTTCCATGTGCACCTTACTGCAAAAGCTAGTTAGGAAACGGGGGGGTTGCCATCATTTTGTATCGCTAAATCTTATTTGTAGTCGATATAATCAGCCTGAACACATGCTTAAAATGTTGACTAAAGAGACCAGCATGCAAGTTCAACTCTGGTTCAGAGTACTTTAGGAGCACCAAAACTGGGGCATCCTATTAACCTCCCTGGCGGTATGATTATGTCAGGAATTTTGTACCAAAAGCGGTACCATTTTTTTTTGCATGGAAATTTGGTGTTATGTATTGTAGGCCTGCAATTCTTAGTAATTACTTAATAAATACTCATAAAAAATAATAATAATAAATTAAATTCAATAATATAATCAAACCAAAAACACTGAAATTTGAAATAGAGCGCCAAGTTCGCACATCACTGAGCAAAGTCGCAAAATCGTTTTCAGTGTCTGATGAGGAATTTCCCCCACAAATCATTATCACTCAATTCTGCAAGTGGTTCTGATTTACTATCGCTGTTCTCTAGCCGGTCTAAAACCGATTTTGACCTAAAGGGACGCTTTTTGGACGCCGTGGACTTTTCTACGTTTCCAGGCAGAAAAAACAGTCAAAATGCAGGCAGGGCGCCGGACAAAGCAGTCGGGACAAAATGTATGTGAAATGCTTTGATACAGGAATGTTTTGCTATGAAATAATAGTTTTAAAAAAAATGTCATTTTTTAAAAATTTTCAAATTTACCGCCGGTTCCGGCGTCCGTACGTCCCAACGTCACAGGGGCCGCAACATGGAAGCCAGATGCCGGCATCGGCCGGAGGAGATGGCCGGGGACGCTGCAGGGGACGCATTGCGGGAGCGAAGGACAAGGTAAGCGATGTAGGGAATCCCTGAGCAACGCCGCATGGTAAGCCCGAGTGTAGCTCGGGGTTACCTCTTTTGGTACTGAAACTTTACCCCGAACTACACTCGGGAATACCGCCAGGGGGGTTAAGCAAATTCCAACAGGAGCTTTTAAAGCCCAACTCATCCTGATTTACATATTTGTTCTGATTTATCGCAAAAGTACTGAAGACAATGGATTAGCCAATGAAATGACACGAGCATCTGATCCCGACACAGATAGAGGGGAATGCTTCAACCAAAGATATCAATATCCTCCAGCCAGGTAAAATCATTGATCCGCCAGCAAGATTAAATCATCGATCCTTAATGTAGGGGTAGGGGTGTAGTTTGGAATGCCCTGGGACACTCTAAATTTTGTGATTTTGATGATGTTTCAGCCTTTCATTATGGATCGATGATTTCATCTGGCTGGCGGATCGATGATTTCAGCTGGCTGGCGGACATTGATATCTTTGGTTGAAGGGTTCCCCTCTATCTATGTCTGAATCAGATGCTCGTGTCATTTCATTGGCCTTATATGAAGTCACTAATATCACCAACTGGTAAATGCTAATACTGTTTGTGTCATTTTTATTATTATAACTTGTTATGCATTTATGGCTTATATCTTTGGCCTACTTTTTTATATAATCTCAGAAATATATGCTTTGTCTCCCTGAAGAAGCGGGCTGTGTCCCACGAAACGCGTCAGTAAAACTTATAAAGTATTAATCTGGGAAAGACTGTTATTTTGTTGTACATGCCATTAACAGCAACTAACCCAGCAATCTGTGAAAGGTTATGTCTATTTGTTGTATGTGCTAGTAGGTCATTTTTATGCAGTAATTTTTGACAAATTTGACTCAAGCATGTTATGCTTTTTAAACAAACGTGTATATGCGATGTTTGACAATTTTGGTGGCTCATTTTTAACAATAAAGTGATAATTGTTACACAAATTTTGATTTTCTATTGTTTGGTATGGCATCTTCAAAACTCCATTAGTTTTTTCTAGTTAGGGCCCCTATCTGCAGTGTCTTATTAATAAGGGGTGTGGTACCAGTAAATCCTTCCAGCAAGGACTAGGAGACCATTTAGGTTTCCATCTCTCACTCCATTCTCTTTAATGCTATACATCCATATATTATCAAATCAAATGGATTTGATATTTTGGGACGCTATTCCAATCCACCAAGAGAAATGGCATGAGCTGACTGGACAATATCGACTGTTGTCATGTGCACCTAATTAACTTAATGGAACTAAAAATTGGAATCCATTTGTTATCTGAATCCTCAAACAAATTCAAAAACTGAATTAATTTCTCCATGGGCCCACACTACTATCACAATTTAGTGATGTCATCCAAATTAAACAAATGCATTTGTTCATTTCATTAAAACTTTTTTTCGGATTCGTTGACATTCGTTACTATGTCCATTCGGAAATTCGCTTACATCCGAATCTCCCAAAAATACATTTTCGGCCAAAAAACAGATCGTAAAGAAACACACGTCTATTTAGAACTCAACCATGCAAGATCTGTGCAGAATTTGCCTAAAAACGTGCCTCAGGTGCCTATCTACAAGCATACCCAAAACCCTAACTCTGCAAGGCAAGAGTGCAAATTAATTTTCTAATGTGCTGCCCATGAAGTACCTGGAATTTTGCCACTGGAGGCCAAAGTTGATGTAAGAAGTCAAAAGTGGTTGTACCCATCAGTTTGCCAATCTTGAAAAATAAAGCCTTTAACTCTGCCAATAGCGGGGTTACTGTAACTTTTGTTAAAGACAACAGCAGTGAAAAAAAAAAAAAATCACACCGCATGCTAGACAAATAAGCACAGAAGCAAACATATACAGCACAAATTTTGAAAAGACCAAGCCACTTTGGCACCAATGATAGCCCTGGTATACAGTGCCAGCATCACCACAGTAAAGGCATCTGATTCATTATTTTTACTGGTCAACATACACAAATTGATTTAAATCTGTTATCACAAGTAGTCAAGATAATGTGCAGCATTATAGATGTGTATGGCTACTTCAAAATTTATTTAAAAAAAAAAATACCTGAAGCATCTCCAACTTTAAAATCACTGTCATCTGAGCTATCATAATCCAATGCTTCAAGAAGGGAAGTTGCCAAAGGCTTCACTTGACGTCTTTTCGAACTCCGGTCCACTGCAACGAAAGTATTTTTTGTTTTTTTCGGGTTTTTTTTATAATTAAAAGGTGGTATCCAAAGTAATCTCATAACACAATTATAGAGATCCAGTCAAGACCATAAACAAATGCAAGCGTGACTCCCACTGCAATAGGAGATCGTATATTCGCCTTTCCAATGACCTGCATCTCCAACCTTCCCTTCATTCCAGTGCTGCAGCCTCTGTAGGACTGTCAGGAGTGTTGCATGCTCAAAAGTCTTAAAGCGGCCAGAAAAGGGAGATGGCAGGAGACATGGGCTGCTGGAGATTTCATTACCTCTTCTACTGCAAGGAAGCATTGTTTGCATTTGATTATGGACCTGGCAGGGTCTCTTTAAAGTTGAGCTTTGGTCATTTGTTTTGAGTTAGTAAGGTTTAGATCCTTTCCCAGATATTTATTAATCATTAGGAAGCTTCCTCCTCAATTTGAGTCAATCAGGACTTCTCCAAAGATTATACAGAGAGTGTACTATGGAGAGAGAAAGCTGGAAGTTCCGCTGACAAAAACAATGATCTACAGTGCATTCATAAAGTATTCAGGCCCCTTCACTTTGTTTGATTTTGTTATGTTGCAGCCTGATACTACAGTTGTTTAAATTCATGTTTTCTCATTAATCTACACTCAGTATCCCATAATGACATAAGAAAAACAGATTTTTAGAAATGTCTGAATTTATTAAAAAGAAAAAACTGAAATATCATGCACTGAAGTGTTCAGACCCTTTACTCAGTACCTTGTTAAAGCACTTTTAGCAGCAAAAACAGCCTCAAGTCTTTTGATGCATGACGCAAGCTTTGCACACCTGGATTGAGGGGGGGGGGGGGGGTTCTGCCATTCTTCTTTGCAAATCCTCTCAAACTTAGTCAGAACAGATGGGGACAGTTGGTGGACAGCCATTTTCAGGTCTCTCCAGAGATGTTCAATAGGGTTCAAGTCAGGGATTTGGCTAGGCCACTCTTGGACATTCATAGAATTGTCACTAAGCCACTCCTGTGTTGTCTTGGCTGTGTGCTTAGGATCATTGTTATGTTGGAAGATGAACCTTTAGCCCAGTCAGAGGTCCTGAGCGCTTTGGAGAAGGTTTTCATTGAGAATATCTCTTTCCTTTGCTCCATTCATCTTTCCTTCAACCCTGACCAGTCGACCAGTCTCCCAGCCCCTGCTGCTGAAAAACAACCCCACAGCATGATACTGCCAACACCATGCTTCAGTGTTGGGATGGTTTTGGGCAGGTGATGAACGGTGACTGGTTTCCTCCAGATCTAATACTTAGAACTGAGGCCAAACTGTTGAATCTTGGTTTCATCAGACCAGAGAATCTTGCTCCTCATACTCAGACCTTCTGGTGCTTTTTATTTTGGAAACTCCAAGGAGGGCTTTCAAATGTTTTGCACTCAGGAGAGGCTTTCATCTAGCCACTCTGCCATACAGCGCAGATCAGTAGAGGGCTGCAGTGATGGTTGTCCTTCTGGAACTTTGTACTGTCCCATCCCATCTCCATACAGGATCTTTGAAGCTCAGTCAGAGTGACCATTGGGTTCTTGTCACCTTTCTAAGGCCCTTCTCCCTAATTGCTCCGTTTGGCCAGGTGACCAGCTCTTGGAAGAGTCCTGGTTTGCCAAACTTCTTCCATTTGAGAACTATGGAGGCCACTGTGAATCTGGGAATCTTTAGTGCAGCAGAATTTTTTTTTTTTTTGTAACCTTCCCTAGATCTGTGCCATGCAATAATCCTGTCTAAGAGCTCTGCAGGTAGTTTCTTTGACCTCATGGCTTTTGCTCTGAAACAGAATGCATTGTCAGCTGTGAGGCCTTTTATAGAGAGGTGTGTACCTTTCCAAATCATGTACGATCATTTTAATTTACCACAGGTGGACTCCAAGGTGTATAAACATCTCAGCAACGTTCAAGAAAAATGGGAGGCATTTGAGCTAAATTTCAAATGTTGCAGCAAAGGGTCTGGTTACTTAGGCCAATGGGATTTTTCAGTTTTTCCTTTTTCATACATTTGCAAACATTTCTAAAATTCTATTTTAACTTTGTCATTATGGCGTACTGAGTGTAGATTAATGAGAAAAAAAAATGAATTTAAACAACTCTATTATCAGTCTGCAACATAACATTGGAAAAGTGAAGGTGGTCTGAAAACATTATGAATGCACTGTCAATAGCTGTCAACTGGGCCGGACGTGCAAAATTTCCTCTATGGAAATTCAAAAGTTCTAACCCTTTCTTGTACTTAAAGATTGGTCCAGGTTCAGATCTCTCACTTCTGGCTAGACTGTCTCTGTAAACAGATGCAATTAGCCCTTTGCCATTGAGTTTCTATGGTCCAATTTTGAACTCTGTTCTGGTTGGCTGGATTACATGAGTCCTGATAGCACTATTGAGGCCACTTACACCTGTTTCCAGATAACCAACTTGAAGAAAAAAACCAAAAGCTTGGCAGAGGAAAAATATTAAACAAAGCTTACTGGTCTATACACAAGGACACCACCATTGCCGAACTGTAGCCACAGAATTTTTTGTATGCTGACACTTAATTGTGAGGGCTATCAAAATGGTGTTTTAGAGGATGAGAAGTACCATAAATAACAGATCATAGCTTTGACACAGATGAAGTTAGTTTTATCTGGACATGCAGAACTGCAAAGTCAGTCACAGAAATCACTATGGTGCAATTATGTTTTGAAAATGTTGTTAATGCAAGATACAATTGGTATTGCATTTGCAACATGCAGGTAATAAAAATAACTAGAGCAAAACACCAATAATGGCCTTCGATATGACAAAGAGAAATTAAGAGCATGACAGTATGTTGTATTTATCAAAACATCCATCTTAATAAATCTTGATATCACCTTGTAGACCAATCAAATTCAAACAAGCACCAACCATTGACAGAAGAATACTTGTAAAGTGTATGGCCAGTCAAACGTTTAGTTTTGGATAGAATGGGAGAAGGCTCAGGACCCCATCTGTCACTTTTAACGGTTCTCACCTGTCACTGTGAACATGTTATCACCAGAACAAGTAACAGAGGGAAAATCTCCAACAGAACAAGATACAACAACAAAAAAAAAAAAACACTTTTTTTTCCAGACTTGAGGAAGGCTAGAACCGTATTGCCGTCTGTGCTCTTGGAGGTTTTGACTCACTTTCAGTTCTGATGACAATGTTGTCATCAGGACAGTATATCTCCCCAGCAAGGCTTCAGACAGCAATAAAATTCAGATACAGGATCTCACCCTTCCCCACTCAATCCAAAACTAAAAAAAGACCTTTGACTGGAGTTGACAAATATTTAAATATTTTTAAAAAACAACATTGGAAATACATGGAAATACAGGTTTTTAATAAAAGGTGCTTAGGTGAATGCAGTTCATTTTCTAATTTGTACTAATATCTGGAGAAAAGTGATCCCTGCAAAGAAGTTAGACACTCACTTCTCCTATGGCAGATTGCTTCCTCAACCAGGGTTCCTTCAAAAGGTTGTTCAGGGTTCTTTGAGCAATGGGGTTGACTGACAGTGTCTGCATGGTGTTTGCAACAATGCCACTTGGCAGAGTCATCTGCATAGGGACCAGTGGAGCTTCTGTCCTTTCTCATGTAAGTAATCAGCAACACCAATGTCTGTAGAGGGGCTTCCTCCAACTGGCCACCAATCCCACAGGGCATTCTATTCCCTGGCCACCAATCCCACAGGGCATTCTATTCCCAGGCCGCCAATCCCACAGGGCATTCTATTCCCAGGCCGCCAATCCCACAGGGCATTCTATTCCCAGGCCGCCAATCCCACAGGGCATTCTATTCCCAGGCCGCCAATCCCACAGGGCATTCTATTCCCAGGCCGCCAATCCCACAGGGCATTCTATTCCCAGGCCGCCAATCCCACAGGGCATTCTATTCCCAGGCCGCCAATCCCACAGGGCATTCTATTCCCAGGCCGCCAATCCCACAGGGCATTCTATTCCCAGGCCGCCAATCCCACAGGCATTCTATTCCCAAGTCCGCCAATCCCACAGGGCATTCTATTCCCAAGTCCGCCAATCCCACAGGGCATTCTATTCCCAAGTCCGCCAATCCCACAGGGCATTCTATTCCCAAGTCCGCCAATCCCACAGGGCATTCTATTCCCAAGTCCGCCAATCCCACAGGGCATTCTATTCCCAGGCCGCCAATCCCACAGGGCATTCTATTCCCAGGCCGCCAATCCCACAGGGCATTCTATTCCCAGGCCACCAATCCCACAGGGCATTCTATTCCCAGGCCACCAATCCCACAGGGCATTCTACTCTCAGGCCACCAATCCCACAGGGCATTCTATTCCCAGGCCACCAATCCCACAGGGCATTCTATTCCCAGGCCACCAATCCCACAGGGCATTCTATTCCCTGGCCACCAATCCCACAGGGCATTCTATTCCCAGGCCACCAATCCCACAGGGCATTCTATTCCCAGTCCACCAATCCCACAGGGCATTCTATTCCCAGGCCACCAATCCCACAGGGCATTCTATTCCCTGGCCACCAATCCCACAGGGCATTCTATTCCCTGGCCACCAATCCCACAGGGCATTCTTTTCCCTGGCCACCAATCCCACAGGGCATTCTTTTCCCTGGCCACCAATCCCACAGGGCATTCTTTTCCCTTGCCACCAATCCCACAGGGCATTCTTTTCCCTGGCCACCAATCCCACAGGGCATTTTTTTCCCTGGCCACCAATCCCACAAGACATTCTTTTCACTGTTCACCAAATCCCACAGGGCATTCTTTTCACTGAGCACCAATCCCACAGGGCATTCTTTTCACTGAGCACCAATCCCACAGGGCATTCTTTTCACTGTTCACCAATCCCACAGGGCATTCTTTTCACTGAGCACCAATCCCACAAGACATTTTTTTCACTGGACACAAATACATCTAGGCAATTTTAGCAAGGGGTCTCTGAGACCTGAAAATTATTTCAAGGGTT